CGACCATCGAAACTGGCCGAAAAACTCCTTAAGCAGCAGAGCTAACAGTAAAGGTATACTTATAAACTTATCTTATATATAATTATATAAATATATCATTCTCCCAATTTCTTCAATCCACTTATCCAATTTTTTCCCCAATTATTTTCGTAAGACTAACCCTTATTTGAACAAATGGAGTGGAGGCAAACAACTGAGCATATCATGGAAAGATTTTATCGTTGCAGAAAAAATGTGGTCACAAGGATGTCGTGGACTGACTTTAATGCTAGAAGAAGATATGTTTCGTGTGCAAAATACCAGGTATATTCTTCAATTTTGAAAACCTAATTTTCAATTTAAATATGACATTTTCCAGAAAGTGCTAACATTGTGTAATAAATTAAATGCATCAAACTTATTGTATCTGAGAAGAATATATTAGTTGTAATAGTAGTGCGTTGCTCACGAATTTTCCAAACCATTTCGTTGAAGAATCAAAGGTCTAGGGTTGTGAAATTGGGGAAATCGCGAAATTGGGGAAATTGGAATATGAGATTGAAGATTGGGGAGGAATGATATTTTAATAGTATGATATGAGATAAGATTACAATTTTACCCTTAAACTCCGCCGGCTCGATGGTCGAGATTGGTATTTACCAATTACGTATAGTTGAGATTGCAATTTATCAAAAATAAAAGATTAAGTTGCAAACCCAAAAAGGCCCTAGGTTGGTCAAAAAATTTTTTTCCGATTTTTTTTTTATTAACCTGAATAAATAAATTTCCTTTCTAAATAAATTTCCTAACTTTAGGGCATGCTTAAAGCCATCCAATAACCAAATGTTTGTCTCTCTGTGCAACCAGAAAGCCCCAATTTCATTGAAACTCTAGCCCTCCTCTCCCTCAATTCTGCGGCCTTCTCACCGGTGGGTACGTCGCACCCAGCCGTCTTCGACCAGCACCAGGACGGAAGATGGACTATTGGCGTCTCCGCGGCTCCTCTTCGGTTGGTGGCGATTCCCCTTCAGTCTTGGGCGGCCATGGCGGGCAGCAGAGCGGGCTGCGGTTTCCGTCGGCGGATCCATCAAGCGGAGTAGTGCACTGTCGAGTGGTGGTCAACTCTGCTATGTTTTTTACCCTCCTTCATCGTCTTTGTTGCACCTGGTTTTGGTGTAACATGTTCCTCCGGCGACTGCCTGTTTCGGTTTCGGCGGCTCGGTCACGGCGGTCGCTGGATTATGTGGGGGGTGAGT